TCATGCTCTGCTGTCCTATAGGCCATCAACAGTGGAGGGAGTAAGACATCCCAATCGTCTTGATGGCTATTACAAAATTTTGCCAATTCCTGTCCAAGTGTCCAATTGTACTTTTCTACCATCCCATCGGACTGTGGGTGGAGTGGTGTTGTTCTGGTCTTTTGTACGCCAAACAACTTGCAGCATTCATGGAACATAGCTGATTCAAAGTTACGGCCTTGATCTGAATGAAGTTCGTATGGCATACTAAATCTGAAGAAGAAATCACTAATAGCCGAAGCTACTGTTGTAGCTTCCTGATTTGGTATTGCATATGCCTCAGGCCACTTGGTGAAATAATCCATCACCACACAAATGTACTTGTTTCCAGCACGAGTTTGAAGCAAAGGACCAGCAATGTCAATGGCTACTCCTTCCATAGGTGTGCCAACTTGATATAACTTCATTGGTATACAAGTAAAGCAAGCACACACTTCTACTATGCAGGATGCAATGGCCAGAGTTCTTGAATTTGAATCCTACGTTAAGTTCAGCACAGAGGTACCAAGGTTGGTACAGTCATCAGGATTCAAGGCCAGAAAAAGGCAGCTTTCAGAGAGGTTTGAGGGACTTTGCTGGCAGTGTAATAAACCTGGGCAGGAGAGAACTCAATGCTGGCAACTTCAACACAGGGGAGATGCCACAGCAGGAAGGCTGCTACCCAGAAAGGTTGTTGGAACTGTGGAGAACAAGGACATATGAGGAGTCAGTGTAAGAAGAATATTACCAATAAGTCAGCCTCAAGGAAACAAATAGTGGTTCATGTTGAGGGACGCCTACCAACCCCAATTGTGAAAGTCCCAACAGCTAAGTGTAAAATGCCAAACACACATAGTGTCCATGTGACAGGAAAGCTGAATGGCCATATATGCAACTTTGTCAAATATTCTGCATCTCAGCAAACCCTCGTGAGTATCAAAATGTTAGATCACAAAGGATTATCATTCTGCAAGGTTGTGGGGACCAGTGTGGGTAACTATTGGCAAACGGTTATACCGAGGAAGTTACGGGAAGTTGTACTGCGTCAATCCCATGATACTTTAACAGGAGGACATCTCGGAGTTAAGAAGACATTGAGTTACCTACAACAGATATTTTACTGGATAGGTATGAAGCAAAATGTGGAAGAATGATGCAGGTATGCAGTACATGTTGTGCTAAAAGGGGACCCAAGCATAAAGGACGTGCTTTTCAGTTGTGGACTGTCCAAAGGCATCTACAAACTGATCCCTCAGCAACAACTTGAGGCGATCGGGTGATGCAGTTGGGTAGGCCTTGTGTGCCATGCTTTCCAAGTCCTGTGCCAGCTCTTTCAGGCTCTCCCCTTTAGCACGGACTCTCGTCCTAAACCTGGCCCTGTAGACTTCCGACTGATTTTGGGTTCCGTACCTGAGTTCTAGAGCTGCTACCAGTGCTCTATAATTGTGTGTGTTGTCTGCTGACAACTGTCCAAGTATTTCCAGTGGTTGTCCCTTCAAGCTGGTTGCCAGATATACTGCTTTCTGCTCTCTGGGTTTTCTTTATCTTTTTGACTGTCAATGACACTTAACCTTACTTATTTATACTAATGGCAGTACTGCATTAAATAATTTTTTACTCAATAAGGTTGAAAAAACAGACAATGTCCCATAACTATCACTATCTGTCTGGCTTTCTAACTATGCAACAAGAAAGTAGTTTAATTAAATTTTGAATGTAACTCACAAAAACCTTGTGACGTGCAGAAAAAGATGATGAGGGAGTCAAGTACTTTGTAATTCTAGTAAGCACTTCATGTATTTGAAACATGACTGCTGAAGCTATTTACAGGACAGCTTGCTTTGAAAATGAGGAAAACATTTTGTTTCTCTCCCCAGGTTTTCAAACACCTTTAGGGAAGAACTTAGGAACTTCAGGGGCATTTATTATTTTCTCAGGGTATTTTTTTTCCAAACAACAGTTTTAGAAGCTGTCCTTATTTCAAACAAATAGCAATGAATAAACTTACAGACATGACTCATTTGTTTATTGAATGTTTTTACTATAAACTTTAGACTATCATTGGTTATCATTGCATATTTTATACACAATAACAGTTAACAAGGTATTATGGATTATAGATATTCATTTCTGAAGTATGCTAATGATGAAGCTGAAGACAACGATTCAATGGAGACACTGTCTTGAAACAGGACATGCATAATAAACATTGCTAGAAAAAACTGATAAAATAATATATAAACAGAAACATGCAACAGAAAACTTTTAATTTGCTTTACACAACTCAGTTTCTCAGTAAGAGACATATAAATTTAGGAATTACCAAGTAGGGCTTCTCTAGGGAAAAAAAACATTCTGACAAGTTTTTTAGGAATTTTACAGAATGCTAGGGATACTTTAAAGCTTGTCTCTCTCTGTGCTTTCTTAATGTTCAACTTAGTGTTTAAAGATGAGTGGAAGTGAGTAAACCACTGTCTCAAGTCTTCCATTAAAGAAGCTTATTAGAGGGAATTTAAAATATTTTTTTCTCAGACTAAGTCCTCACTACAGATGTAATTTGATAAACAAGTTTTAAAGTTTAATCAATAAATATTTTTATCTTTAATATTGTATGAAAGTTATAACATAAAAAATACATGTTTGGAGTAGTAAAAAGTAATAAGTACAAGCTTAAATACACTAAAAATTCATCAGTAAAAATGAATTTAATATATTCTCCCCCTTATTCCCAACAACTGTATACTCAACTTTGAATTAACATATTTTAATCATACTATTTAGTATATTTACCTCACCAAGCCAGTGCTATAGCTAAAGTACTTCTGGTTCCAATTATTCAGATGGAAACCCAAGCTTACTCAAACTCAAATACCCTTAAATCTGTAGAAAAGGTATTGGGTAATCTGCTTGTTCACTTTTGATTTCACAATTTTCATACTTTATAGAAAGTATCAGTCACACTGGAATGTGAAATATGTAGTATGTCAACAGCACAATATATATGACCAGTGCAATTCAACTGCAAGTACAAATATGTGAATATTTTTTCACCCACAAATAGTTCTTAAGTATATTTCATCTAAATTAAATAACTTTAATGCTTCTTTATCTATCATTGTTAATGTTAAAACCCAGAAATTCTGAAATAATAAAAATAAAACATTCATGAAACTGAACAATTATTAAAATGCTATGGCATCACGTTTGTTGACTCACATTCAAAATTTTATTGAACTAATATTTCATGAATGTATGTTGGTAAATTTGGTATCAAATTGTACATTATAATTCAAATTTTAGTATTATACAATAGTTACTTTCTTAATTTAAAAGTAAATATTAAAAATAAATCCTAAATATAAATTTTTGTGTGTCACGTGGTATGTTGAATGAAGAATTGGTTCAAATTAGATGTTTGTGACATCCAACTAAAAATTCTATAGATACCCAAATCACTGATCCGAACAAGCTAGAATGTAAAATAAGAACTTCTTATCTTTTCTATTTTCTGAGATATTAATATATTTATTGAATTAAACAAGGTGGCCCCACCCACCTCTTCAATTTTTGAAAATACCTGCTTACGTACACCTACTTCGCCCAATGATGTGTGTATAACCAATCGAAAGCTCAGAATGTCCCCTTAGTGGTTTTCTGAGCCTTTGCAAAATACTTATGCAGCAAACTCTTTCTTTTCATGCTATTCCAAGCAGTAAGGTAAAACATTAGTGAGCTCAAAATTTCATATTTTTTGGGACCCGAATACAACTTAGTTACTGAGCTTGATAAATTATAGTGGAATTCTGTGGTATTGATTTGATAATTCATAATTTTTGGTTATTTCAAAATGTATATATAAAACCTAAAAAAAATTATTTAATTTCACATCCTCCACTTGCGAGGCTTAGCAACCTATAGCAAGCAGCAAACGTGTAAAAAGTTCATAACTAGAAGAGATAATTGTTTGCTATACTTTTATATTTACTGTTCTATGTTTTAAGAAAAAATAAATTTAAGAACTTATTTCTAAATAGTAATAATTTGTATACACATATAATGTATTATAACTGAAATGTGACTGTATTTCACAAAATACTAGTCCACTAAAATACAGCCAAGACAGGTCACTTTGTAAAGGTCAGTTTTATATTCTTGGATATGGTAACATGAGTGCAAGTGCACCACATCATTGTAACTTCTGTAATGTTAGTCAGGCATGGCTGAAAGGTCAATATAATAAAAATCATAATTTATATTTATATCCTAATTTTTCATGGTGGTTATGAGGTTGGTCAAATAGACCCAAACAGTACAGTGATGCAGTAGTGAAAATAACAGATAAATATGAAAATTTTCTGATCCAAAAAAGTATAGGAACTCCTGTATTTTGCCAGCTCATGTGGTTACTAAAGTCAATATTTTTCAAAGCACTTGGATCACATGACACAAAAACTGCAGTTTAAATATTCTTTTGAAAGGTTTACTTTGAAACAAAGTAAATAAAACTTACATAACATAAAAATTCAAATTATAACATACCTTATAATGTTACTTCGACTGATATATATTGATGGTAAACTGGTTTAATTAAATGTTGAATATAATGCAGTACCATTTGCAGAAAGGAATTTTAAAATGGCGCCGGTAGTCATAGGGATAATTTAGTCTGACCACTATGATGACATCAGTACATGCAATTACAGGCTTTTACAAGTGTGAACAACCCATACTCCTAATTATTTTGGCTACCAGAACATATTTCAAATTCCTAGATTTTGCTATGTTAGTTTTATTCTAAATTACACTCTTTGTAAGAGGAAAAAGGCTACACTTTCAAATATCCTAATTAGAAAATAACATAATTTTTACCTAGTTACCTTTTTGTCCCATTTATATTATTAATTCTATTTATTTTCATACATTTCTAGTCTTCATATTTCTACATTTACCTGACCAACCATTTCTGCTACATGGCAACTTACTTTGAAAATGTTCTCTACTCTCGTCCACAGATCTATAGAACGGTTGATAACCCAAAGACCACAGATATAATGTCGGAGATCTACTTTTCCCATTGCCTCCTATAATAAAAAGTTAAATCTATTTTAAATGGTTTACAAAGAGCTCAAACAACATAATAGAAGTTATCTAATCAGAAATATTAAAAAACATTATTAACACAAATTGTCACTTCTGTAAACCATAATAATGGAAAAATAGCAGGACTGCAGTGTTATTGCATAGCACTTAAAAGATGATAAACTATGAATACAAAAAGTGATTTCACTTATCACAAAAGTTTGGTGAATCATTTGATGACCACGTAGCATTTATTTTCTCAAACATACCATCCATTCATTAAATGCTAGACTTTACAAATACATGGCAATGCATTAGGCCACATTCATTTTTTATTAATCATTCTTTCTTATGATTACATGCATAGGATCTCATTTTGAAAACTGCATATTGGATATATAATGTTCTGAAAAATGTGTATGATAGCAAATTATTTCATTTTTAACTCAGAAATATTTTAGAACATATATTTTTCACTTATGTAACATTTACTTAGTGTAATTCATTATATATATATAGAAGAAAAAAAGTTGCAACTTTCATTTCTGCATAGATCCGAGGAGTCTCATCTGTAAACAACGCATATATCCTTTTGGTTTTGGACTTTTTCTGACCATCCCAAAGTACAGATGTACATTTACTAAAAAATTATCATCCCTTGAAAATATAATTATCTATGTCTTGTTTCTCATTTATAACTATTCCTTCTCTGTTAATGATATTATTAGTACAGGCTTTGTTCCCATCTTTTTATAATGTCGCATCATGTGGTCTGAAGATGTACAAATGAAGCATAGCTTTGAAAACAGTCACAGATAAAATTTAAATACAACTGTACTGAGTAGATCATAATCTATTTATGTCAATGTAGAATAGATAGAGTGATTTGAACAGTAATTTATGGTTTTGCTATGTAAACAAAAACCTTCAGAAAACTAAGTGGATCTCAGACCCACACTGGCTAAGAAGACTAATACCTGCAGATCGCTACCAAATGGTCTCACATACCCACATTTACTGAGCAAACTAAAACCTGCAAAATGTCACCATATGAATCTTAACAACACACATTGGCTATGAAAACTAAAAAATGCAGAATGTTACCAGAAGGTTATCATACAGGGTTTAGTAGATTATATTAAAACAACTTTGAATATGCAAAACAGCAAGACGTGGCAAACACAGCCAAAATAAAATTGTGATGAAACAGTATGTATAAAAACTACATTTTGACATTGCTTGGCATTTTGTAGGTAGTATGATGCCATTAAATATGTATATATATATATATATATATATATAAAGCTTTTTGGAAGAGAATGTAACAACAGTTCTTTTAGATGGAAAGTATTCATACACTCAGATAACAGAAATATTTCAGATCAGTGATTTAGAAGTTCCAAGATGGGAATATCTTTTTTATACTTAACTCTTCTTTTAAAAAGATGGTCGATTAGATCTACCTTGGAACTATCTTGTAACCAGGTAGTATACATACTATAACTCCAAATGTACTATATGCATATTCATTAAATTTAATAAGTTTTCAGGAAACATTACAAAAGTCTTGTATGTACAAAATGAAATATTCTACTAAAGAATTGTATTAAAGATTTGTCTATGAATTTCCAAAGCCATTAAAACTAGGTCAGTCTGAGCAAAAGAATCTCCTAAATGAATACCAAAGCTTTTTTAGTTGGTAAAAATCTATATTTTATCTCTTACTTTCTACACCCTAATATTAAAAGTAATAATCTGCAATCTACAGTGAAAAGAAAAGGGAAAAATTTGAAATAAAATTTATACCATCCTTTTTTCTTCTTTTTAATGAATGCATTATTCATTGCAAGAGTTTCAATTTACTTATCTTAAAAATTTCAACTGTTAACATTTTCACATCTGTTTTCTTTTAATTGTAAGGTTTTTATTGACAGAATTTGTAATGGAGAAGCAGTTTATCTCTCCATGAAAAGCAATAAATCACGGGCATAACTATACCAGGCCAAAATTTTTACTAACTTGGCTGTTCAAATAAAAATTCATGTAGCTTTCAAATATGCTGTATTATTCATGATATAAACCCTGAGGTATAGAAATCAGTGTCCATGCATCACAGATAAGTGAAGATTGAGATTTTTAAGTATTGCCTTTTGAAATTAAAAAACTAAAACTTAGATAATATGAAAAATTGAATTATAAATTACATTTTTTGCCAAGTTTATTGATATACATTGATAATACAGATGTTTAATTTAATTTTCAATGTAACTCTGTAATGGGAAGTGACAAGCGCACTTTGGCCCACCTTAAGTGAGAGTTAAAAGTATTAGAAAACAAAGGAACAAAGGTCAACTTGGGAAACCAAGACCAACCAGAAAAAGACCTGCAACAAGTCAAGCTGTGGTAAGCAAAGGATTACACCAATCATATGACCCCAAAGTGACCATCACAGTTTCTGTACTATAACTATTAACCCTATCTGCATGGGCATCCTTTACTGCACATGTCACGAGGTATTTAGTGACTTACATTCCAAAATTTTATTGAGTAATATTTTAGGAATGTATGTCAATAAACTTGGTATAAAATTGTAGATTCTGATTCATTAGTTAATTTCTTAATTTGAAAATAAATATAAAAAATAGCTACATATTGATTTTTGTGTGTCACACTGGTACATCATCTTCTGGGTTTGATCAGATGACATTTTTATGATGCTGACAATACAATGCCTATAGTTTCATACAAATCAGAAACTCAACTTTCGGATACTGGCAAGGTAGAATACAAAATAAGAACCTCCTAACTTTTCTCTTTGTTGAGATACCATAATATTTATTGAATCCACCATATTAGGTCTGTCCACCACTTCATCATTTGAGAAGAATTGTATATCTACACCTGCTTTTTTATACCTATAAGTTTATAACTAATCGAAGGCTTTACAATTCCTCTATGTAATTCTATTAGTCTTTTAAAGTTATTTATGAGAGTAAAGCTCTTATATTGTTGGAGAGTTTGAAGTATTATGATCAATACTTTTTTTCCTTACAGAAATTAGATTTTTTTTTAGACCCAAATAAAGCATAGTTAGGAAGCTTGGTATATTATAATAGATTTTTGTGGTATCATATAGTCATTTATAATTTTTTGTGTTTAAAAATGCATATTATTTTTTATACATTGACATGTGGAATTGGACAAGGCCTACGATGAGGGTTAGCAAGTACAACTCATGAGTGCAAAACAGAACTTCAAAATATCATAAGTAGTGAAGATCATTGTTTTCCAATTATTTTTTATTTAGTGCTCTATGTTTTAAAAAAAATAACTAAAATTATATATATATATATATATATATA